CTCCGTGGCTGCCGGTTGCCATCTTGGTTGGGTTAATTTGCATATAGTCGCTCTGATTGGCTGGTTGGCGTGGCTTAAGGCATAGCGAAGGTACAGTCAATTTGCATGTTTGTCTTTTATTAGTGTAGATTGTGGAACAAGAGGTTTCATCTTGTGTTAAAGGAATTTCAGGCAGCAACAAGCATGCAAGGTAAGAGGCCAGCCCACACACACAGTCCTGTAGGCTGACACTTACTCATATGATCCACTCAGCCACTGCCCCCTTGGTTAAGACTTCCTCTTAGGGAGCTGATTTCCTGGGCACGCCTCTCAAGCTCCCCAATCTTCCTCTCGGAGAAAAGAAAATGTAAGCATTCTAATGTGTTCAACTGATTTGAGCATTTCTGTGCAGGGTGCCTCTTTTTTTTTTTTTTACCATGTTTCTCTTTTTTTAGTGTAGATTCTATTCTGTTGGGGTCCAACCCTAGCAGGTCCAGGGGTCCCCAAAGGTGTGGATGGAGTTGGCGAAGAAGGGATGACACGGAGGAAGCGTTCAGTTGATCAGCAGGCTAGCCAGGATCTCTAGCCAGGATCTCCAGCCAACTTCTGTGTAGGTTCTCTTGCCATGTTCTCTTGCTAGGTTCTCCAGCCAGGTTCTGTCAGGGTGCCTCTTTTTTAGGCCACTCTGAAGAGTTACCACCCTGGAGAGTGCACATAATCTTGTTAACTATCTTGCCATTCAATCCATGCCTTGGTTTTTTCCTTTATGTAATCTCCCTTACATTCCATCCTTAATTCCAAATTCATAAAAGAAACTTCAAACTGCCATTCTGGGAAGCATCTGTCTAAGTCTGTGGAGATCTTTCTTCCAGGCTTATCCTTTGTTTGCTTCAAATGAACTTTTATAAATAAATGATTTACAGATTTGGACCTTTTCCACATTGACATTTGCTTGGTGTAGTCAGCAGAATTTCAAATAAACCCACCCAGAACCACCCTGCATAAATGAGTGGAACAAATCTCTCTCTCTCTCTCTCTCTCTCTCTCTCTCTCTCTCTCTCTCTCCCCTTCCCTCCTTCTCTCCCTCCCTCCTGTTAGGGTCACCGAAGGAGGAACGTCCGAGAACAAAAGGGGTAAAGACTTATGAAATTTATTAGGTCACCTGGATACCAGATGGGCAGAGCCCCAAAATGGTGCCAGCCTCCAAAGACAGAGAGTCAGAGGTTTTTAAAGGACTCTAGGCGGGCTTTTTCTGGGCGGAGAATTCTCTGTGCAGGTGCGGATTCTGGGAAACTCCGGAGGGGAGAGATAATGGTCTTAGCAAGTGGAATGTGGTCTAAGCAAGTGAAATGTCCATCGTGAAGTGGCCTAAAGCTCAGTTCCCAGGGGAGGGGGCACTGATTCAATTATTTGATCAAACCTATTACTTTCCTTTCTCTCTCTGTAAGAGCAATAAATTTTAAAAAATTTTCTTTATAGTAGTGGCTCTTAATAGTCTGAGTCATGCCTCTGTTTGTTAGGCCCAGTTCAGCCTGTGACGTGGCCCTTTTATCAGTGGTCTAATGCCTCCCAGGTCCAGAGGGCAGGACCTGCACTGTCTGCAAGGTGACCCCTTGGAGGGTTACTTTGAAACAGTCAAGAAATGCTGTGGGGCAATCAGCTCTGAGGAATGAATGGTGAATTCAGTTCCTGCTCCTCTCTATCAGTTAGGACTCATAAGAGCACAAGCACCAGAAAAACCACCCAGCAGGCTGAAGAGAGGAGATGGCTCACATAACTAAGAGGTAGAGAGCAGGCGCTGCTCAGTGAGGGGACTCAGGTGATGTCAATGACCTGCTCTTTTTTTGTCTCTTGACTCAGTTATTGTGCCCCCTGTAATCTGGCTTTATTCTCAAACAACTGCTTTAGACTTCCTATCTTCTATTCAAACCCAGCTAGAGAGAGCCTGCTTTTTAAGTAGCTTAAACAAAGTCCCACATTAAGCCTCAGGAGTCTCCCCCCGCTCCCCCCTGCTGCCCCAGGTGGCCAGCCTTGGGTGATGTGACAGCTTTAATCCAATCACTAAGGCTTAGGGTGATGGGCTGTCCTGACTGGCTTAGCCAAGGACACCTTCTCCAAGCCATGGTTCAAAAGGTAAAGTCACCTTCCCTGAAAACAGGTGGAATGAGAGGAAGGGAGGGGGCGTCGTCACATGAATTATTATCTTGTTTTTATCATCAGAAGGCGGGCACTCTCTGATTTGTGAGTCAGCACTAACCTCAGGGATTTTCCCGTGGTGTTACCTCCACCTGGACAATGCGATGTGAGAAACACACAGGGCCAAGGGCTAGCATTCCTCAGCACCATTCATGGCATGGCGAGTGGAGTGGCCGGAGTGCAGTGTCCAGGACAGGCAGGTATTTCACTTAATCTGTTCCTCAGGGGCCTGGATTCCGCAGGCATTTGGGTAAAAGGAAAACATGTTGTTATTCATGATGAAAAGACTTCACTAAGAGGGTAGAGCCTGTTGACTAGGAAACCCTTTATATTCTGAGCACCTTGATGGGTGTGATTAAGTCTTGAAAGAACTGAGCTGCTCTGCCCCATAGAGGGAGGTTTGGACCAGCTGACGGATCCTCAGGAAGGGATCTCCAGGAAAGGGATAGGGTGGACAAATGAGAAATGCCAAGGAAAGAGGGACCAGTGAGAGAAAGAAGGTCAGTGACTCCGAGAGGTGAAGGTCAAAGGGCAACTACCTCTAGGAGTGAGGTCAAGAGCATTTCAAGGAAAGGGTTGAACATGTCAAGGTTATTGCTCCACAGAAATCTCTTCGGCTGCAACAAGTCTCCACAAAAGTTCACTGACCTAACGAAGGCTTTGGTTGAAGGATGCTTTCATGTGGTTTTGTTTGGTTGCTTTTCATTTACTGGGAATCAAGAAGGGGGCTGGGTTATATATCTGCATAGATCTCTGGAACCAAAAGCACAGGTGGACGCAGGCGTGACTTTGAGAGAGAACCCTGCACCGGCTGCAAATCCCAGATGTTGTAGGAGTCATAGGACTTTTAGAGGAAGTCTAATTGAGTTACATGTCTGCCGTTCCTTTGGGAATCAGTTGGATATCAAAATCCCAGTGCCTAGGCCCCAGCCCTGACCAATTAAGTCAGAAGTTCTCAGAGTGCAAAGCAGGCGACAGTATTTTTTAATCCTCCTCCGGTGATGGCATAGGCAGGCATGCCCGAGATTACGGGGACTCCAGCTGACATTTTTTGTTGTTGTTAATCCTCACCTGAGGATATTTTTTAAAAATATGTTTTTATTGATTTTAGAGAGAAAGAGAGGGGAAGAGAAGATACAAACATCGATCGGCTGTCTCCTGCAAGCCTCCTACTGGGGATCGAGCCTGCAACCCAGGCACGTGCCCTGACCAGGAAATGAACCTGCGATCTCTTGGGTTCGTGGGTCAATGCTCAACTGCTGAGCCACACCAGCTGGGCATCTGAGGATATTTTTCTATTGATTTTTAGAGAGGGTGGAAGGAAGGGAATGGGGGAGGGGGAGAGAAAAAGAGAGAGACATCGATGTGAGAGAGACACATTGATCGTTTGCCTCCCACAAACGCCAGATAGGGGCCAGGGATCAAACCTGTGACCCAGGTACATGCCCTTGACCAGGAATGGAACCTGCAACTTTTCAGTGCACAGGGTGATGCTCCAACCACTGAGCATACCAGCCAGGGCTCTGACTGACATCTGAATGACCCTGAGTGTGTCTGACCCTGGGCTACAGAAACCTCTGTATCATCTGACAACCCCCCAATCTGACCCCAGAGACCCAATGCCAAGGGCGAGAGAGCAGAAGGACTGCTTAGAAGAGTCTGCTCCTTGTTTGGCTACCATTTCATCAACTGCTTCTCAGTTTTATGTGTGTTTGTCCACTTGGCAGAGTATAATGAAGAGAAGCAGGTGAATTATTTCTTTAGTCTCTAGGGAACCTCAGCCATAGCATCAGCCCCTGGGGTCTGATCAGCTCAGCACATCTGGCGGAAACCTATGGCTCTGCAGAAGTTTGCTGAGGGAGGCCCTGGGCTATGGGATCCGTCTGACTCCTCCCTACTGTCCAGCCCTGCTCACAGTCTGACTTCTTTTCTACCGCAGCAGCCAAGTCTCCAGAGCCAGCAGCATAGGTCCCTTCCTCTTTTTTAGATGATCAGGAGCCACCACAGCCGAAAGCCTTGGTTCCCAGTCCCCCTCCATGACTCAGTCACCCGAAATGGGGCAGCATATTCCCCAACATGCCCACTATGGCCGTCCGTGTCAGCTCTCTCCTCTCGTCTGCCCTCCAGAGCCAGCGAGACAGGAGCTCCTGGTAAAGTAACTGTAAACCCTCAGGCACATCCCGAGACAGTGAACAACTCCAGGAGTAGCTGATGTCACGTTTTATTGCGTAAAGTGGAAGCAGAATGTGCGCTGGGCACAGGTGCATCTAGAAAGCACTCTACAGAAAGAAGCAAGGGAGAGCCACTTAGCTGGTCACACAATGCTCAGGAAGCTTCTCCGTTTGTCTCCTGAGGCCAGCACACTGAGGGGGCCCCACCAGGGAGGGGGCGTGCAAGCGAGAGGCAGCCTGCACGGCCCCGCCTGTCACATCTCCTCTATGCGTCCTGGCAGTTGGACTTCACCAAGGAGGTCTTGCCCAACCAGGGGACAGTGTATACCTGGAAAGAGCAGAGTGCTTCCTGCAAAAGGGAAACGAGAGAGACGGTCAGTTAGGGCTTCAGTCAAAAAGGAAACGGCCCAGCACGAGGTCTCCGAAGTGCAGGTGAGGAGCTGTGGTTGTTTGGTGGACCTCTCGGCCCCCGACCCTGCGGAGCCGCCAATAACGATGCAGGGCTCACCAGGGTCCTCTTGGTGACCCCTCCCATTACTCCAAGTCCAGGAGATCTTCACCCCCCATCCCTGCAGGAATCCACACTGGTGTAGCCCCAGCATGGCCCTTTAAGGAGCAGCCCAGCAAAGCCACACAGCCCCAGAGGGTGCAGGGTATCAGCCAAGTTCCCTCCACCTCCAGTGGGCTGGCACTGAGACAGGAAAACCTCCTGAAAGAGTCAGTGTGTTTGGGGAGGTGACAAGCAGATGGAGGTCCCCAACGGCTGAGACATCCCAAGAACCAGTCAAGCCCAGGGGAGAGTCTGGTGTTCAGTGAGCAGGGCAGCATGGGTGGGCTTCTCCCGTACAGGCCTCTAATTCCCTCTAGTCTGTTCCAGTGGCTGAGTCCAGGGAGGGCCCTATCTCCACCCTGCTGCTTCCTTCAGTCAGCAGGCAACAATCCCCCAGAGCATATGGTGCTCAAAGGTCCCAGCTCAAATGCCCTTATACATTCAAATTAGGAACCTGTACACACAAACTGACACCCTTTCCCCCCCACACCCCAGCCCCTGCACACCCCACCCAGGCCACAGCACTCACCCATGACATATCCCCAGGGCACAGTCCCACCCCTCTGCCCTGTGTGCCTGGCCCCTGGCCCACATCAAGTCCATACCTTCCTCAGGTGCGGCTGCACGTGGAAGGGACAGCTGGCCAAGTTCGGCTGGGACTTGGTACATGTGGTTCGACCGATTTCCACATCCAAGAAGTAGTTCAGTCCAGCCACGAGCTGTGCACATAAAGGGAAGGATTGGTTTTCATTAACTGCCCACGTCACCAGGCAGGTACCTTCCCGTTAGCGTGCATTGGGCCAGCATTCAGGGGTTGCCAGAGCCAACACCCAGGAGGCACCCAGCCACCTCCTGAAGGCTGCCCAAGTCCGTGTGCCCCAGGTCCTCCTTGTAACTTGTTTATGGAGCAGCTCTGACAAGGTGAGTCACACAGCCTGGCAGAAGAGAGGCAGGAAAATAGAAGGTGGAGCCAGACATCAGCATTCTGCCAGGAGCTGGAGGTGCAACTCTGGGGAACTAGCCAGGGTATCAGCAAATCTACTGTGCCAGCGCCAGGAACCAGGGCAGGGACTAAGGCAAAATGACAGCTCTGCTGGGGCCATGGCTGGTTCTGCCTCAGAAAGACTCACATGGTAATGGCCTTGAAATTACAGTCCAGTTGGTAATATCCAACCCATCGAGACTCTCATACCATGTAACCAGGTTATTCATGCCCCCCACTTACCTTCCCGTTAGCGTGCATTGGGCCAGCATTCAGGGGTTGCCAGAGCCAACACCCAGGAGGCACCCAGCCACCTCCTGAAGGCTGCCCAAGTCCGTGTGCCCCAGGTCCTCCTTGTAACTTGTTTATGGAGCAGCTCTGACAAGGTGAGTCACACAGCCTGGCAGAAGAGAGGCAGGAAATAGAAGGTGGAGCCAGACATCAGCATTCTGCCAGGAGCTGGAGGTGCAGCTCTGGGGAACTAGCCAGGGTATCAGCAAATCTACTGTGCCAGCGCCAGGAACCAGGGCAGGGACTAAGGCAAAATGGCAGCTCTGCCGGGGCCATGGCTGGTTCTGCCTCAGGAAGACTCACAGGGTAATGCCCTTGAATTTACAGTCCAGTTGGTAGTATCTAGCCTATCAAGACTCTCATTCCATGTAACCAGGTTATTCATGCCCCCACTGAGCAGCAGGAAATGAGATGCTTTACACACACACACACACACTCACACACTTGAGGCCAATAAAAGATGCCCCTGGGATGCCTGCCTTTCAAGTTATTTGTGAGGGGGACACTTCTAGTGTGCACACACTCACACCTGTGTCGTTTACATTTGAGATTACAGATGTGAAACCTGTGCTCACACAGGCAGCCCCCAGACACACCTCCTGAGAACTCGGAGAACCTCGAGATGAGGGGCCCAGACCAGGCTCTGGACTCTGTCCTATGAATGCCAAGCAAGTCCTATGATCCCTCTGCTGTTGGTTTCTTTCTTTTCTTTCTTTTTTAAAATTTATCTTTATTGTCGAAAGTAATACAGATGTGCCCTTGGTGTCAGTTTCCCACATGGGCCGATGAGTTGTGACACCAAGCTGGGGTCACAGTGGAGAGGAGCTGGCTGGCAGGGACCTGGTGAGCAAGGAGTGCACGTCCCATCCAAAGGGGCCAGTGCCAGCCAACGGCTGCAGGAGAAATGCGACCGATCTTGACCCATCGTCTGACGTTTCAAGAGGAGGCAAGAACAGGCTCTAAACACTGGCCTGCAGCAAGCACCACACGTTGCTGCTGCGTGGCCATGCTCTGCTCTTCCGTGGTCTAAATTCCAGCCTTCCTCCAAGGACAAGCTCAAGGCCCAGCAGCCCCTCCAGATGTGCCCTCCATTCCCCTTCTGGACTCTGCTGACTGCTCTCCCTATCGGGCCAGAACCTCGGGGCGGGCTGGCAGAGGCAGGGTCAGGTGGACCTCTCTACCCCAGCAGACACTTACTACCTCTGGCTTCTGGTGGTGGGGTACCCATCTAAGGGGGGTGGAGAATGAGACTTCAAAACCCAGAGCCTCCTCCAGAGGTCTGACCTCTGGAGGGAAGAACACTCCAGGGGCCTTTCCTCCAGGACCTCTCAGCAGCTCTGGATTCTTATGCAAGACCCTCTGCCGTAGCATCTGCCTGGATACCGCAGACCTATCCTGGACTCCTCTGTGTTTGCCGGTTCCCTCAAGGCGACCAGGGGAGCAGTGAGGGCCCCAAATCAGTGCCTGAGGCCCCAAATACCATCGCACGGAGAGGACAGGGAGGTTGGTGTAGTGGCACCTGTTGAGAGGAGACTCAGAGAACATTCCTCGTTTGCATGTCCCAAATCTTATCCCGAGGAAACCTCAGGACCACACAAACGAAGTGCCAGTCCGCACATTTAGGCCGGACCCTTCACAAATGCCAAGGTGAAGAGGCAGGCAGACAGGCTGCTCCAGGGAAAGGGGCTGCAGTGCAGGAACCGGGAGTGTCCCTGGCTATAGAGGACCCCGGTGGACCTATCACAGACATCTGATAAGTCTATGCATTAGGTCATTGTTTCAGGGTTGATTCCTGCTGTTCAAAATTGTACTGCGATTCTTTTTAAAAATGCCTGTTTTTAGGAAATAGATACTCTCAAATGGTTCAGAGAAATAAATGCATATATGTACCCCCACACACACGTGGGGAGGAAATGAGGTGGATAAAGCAAACAGGGCAACATTTGGACTAATCTGGGGGAAGAAGCTACAGGATTCTATGTTCTAGTTTTGCGATTGTACTGCGATTCTTTTTAAAAATGCCTGTTTTTAGGAAATATATACTCTCAAATGGTTCAGAGAAATAAATGCATAGATGTACCCCCA